CGTGTCATTTGACCGGATCTTTTCATGACTGGCGATAGTTTGAAGTAGCTACTAGACTTCCACCGGGTTCGATATGGTGCTAGGCATTTCAAATCTGAACATATATTTTTCCATAGTTTTATCTAGTCTGTTCTTGAACGCGTTCATACTTGGAGCGCCAACGATTTCATCGGGGAGCCTGTTCCACATGTCGGTGATTCGAAGCGAGAAGAAATGTTGTAGGGTGGTGAAGTTGCAGCGCAGTTTTTTAGTTTATAGCCATGACCCCTGGTGTTGGTTCTTGTTTAAAATTCTAGTAATCCTTCGGGGACCTTGTATAAACCATGAGTATACTTGTATACTTCAATGAGATCCCCAAGCAGACGTCGATAACTGAGGCTTGGAAGCTTCATAATCTTCAATCTTCCTTCATAGGACTTGCCCTTCAAGCCTGGAATTATCCTTGTTGCACGTCCTTGAACATTCTCCATTAAATTTCTGTCCTTTTCAAATCTCGGTGACCACACAACGTTTCCAAACTCTAGATTCGGGCGCACGACAGCAACAAACAACTCCTTCATCGCTTCTGCATCTAGGAACTCGTATGAGCGTCTGATTAGTCCAAGAAGTTAGTTGGATGTGTTAGTTTGCGTTTCAACATGCTTAGAAAATTTCAGCTCCTTGTCGACATAAACTCCAAGATCTTTTTCCACACTAGACTTTTCAAACATTACTCTCTCGTTGCAACCATGTCTTCTCATGCTGTAATCTTGCTGTTCATTGTTCTTCCCGAGGTGAAGTACTTTACACTTGTCAGCATTAAACCGCAGCTGCCACGTATCAGCCGAGTTAAGTTAACTAAGCTGTCAAGATCATCTTGCAATTGGGCTTTATTTGACGTAGATAAGTTAGTGGTGCAGGATCTACCGGCAATAAAATCATGTTGACAATCTGATAGGAGATGGTGAGCAGTCAAGTGATCGATAATCCTATCCTTCACAACAGATTCTATTCCATCTCAATCAATCGTCAGCTATAGAAAGATCGGGTTCCAAAGGCCGGATCCCTTGTGAATCAAGTCACGAAAAGTTCAAGAATCGGCAACAGGCCATGGGCCTATTTCTTCAACGCCGACACTTCTATTCTATTAGCTTACAAACAACACTTTTCAGACTGACAGGGCGATAGTTGCCGGGGCTGCTTTTGTCACCTTTTTTGAACAATGGTGTTACTTAAGCTTCTTTCCAGTCAGACGGCAAAGTTCCTTCGTTCAAGGTTTTTTGAAAGAATACTGTCAATGGGCCGGCCAGAACGGTTGCTAATTCTTTGAGCAATCTGGGATGGAAGCCGTCTGGTCCACATGACTTGTTTGGAATTAGAGCTACCAGGCGCTTGAGAACCTCTTCTTCGTGTATTTCAAAACATATCAACGATGCTATCAGGGAGGCTGTTCCACATGTCGGTGACTCGAAGCGAGAAGAAATTTTGTCGCATGGATGTGTTCCAACGCTGTTTTTTGCTCATCTTGCTCAAATGCTCATCTTCTATGGTCATACTCAAGGCTTAGGTCATACCAAAAGCTTAGACTCGCGTGTTACTTAATTAATTAATCGCACATTTTCGAGTGACCGTGTCCAAATATTGTTGATTCTGTAAATCACTCATAAACTTTGCCGACTATTTCGCCATCCAAGTGATTTATTACGTAAGAAAATAACTGCGCGTACAAATAATCTCGTTTCATATCGAATGCCGCGCGACAGCTAAATTCGACTTCGCCTCTTTCAGAATATTTTTTCTCGTCCGACTGCGTCTTAGTTCCAATGATACAGACGTGCCCAACGACACATTCCCATGAAGTTTAAGGTTAACTCTAAAGAGATCTCATTAAATACATAACTTTATTTACTCAGTAGATACGAAACCTGCATCATGTATTCTCATGTCTTTACAAGCCTGTATAACTATTAAAAATAATGACATTAGGAATGAAGCAGCTCCCTGAAGTGATAAGAGTCGTGTACCAGGACTAGTAGTATTCACCGTAAAAAATTTATTTCATAATTGAAGTTTGAATCTACACAAATATGTTCAATACAACTCACACTTGTGACTCACATAGACCACTTTGTGACCGCGTGAAGATAAGAAACGCGATAAAAAAAAATAAATACAACGTCACCACGCAGTAAAAAAAGATTAATAAAGAAAATAACTAAAAAGTATCAGTGAACCCATAGGCCACCGCCAGCGATGCCACGTGCTAATTAAGGTTTCAGTGGTAGGCGACTCAGAGGAGACCTTGACAGTGGCGCTCACTTAAAAATGATCATCCTTCTCACTGTACTGATAATTTCCTCATAAAATGCCGATCATCTTTCTCCCTCATAAAATGCCGATCTTCCTCCTCACTGTACTGATAATTTCTTCATAAAATGCCGATCATCCTTCTCACTGTACTGATAATTTCCTTATAAAATGCCGATCATCCTCACTGTACTGATAATTTCCTCATAAAATGCCGATCATCCTTCTCACTGTACTGATAATTTCTTCATAAAATGCCGATCATCCTTCTCACTGTACTGATAATTTCTTCATAAAATGCCGATCATCCTTCTCACTGTACTGATAATTTCCTCATAAAATGCCGATCATCCTTCTCACTGTACCGATAATTTCCTCATAAAATGCCTATTATTCTCCCCATTCTCCTGCAGCTGTGGGCAATTAGTATACAATATGAAGCTTAATACAGATAGCAAAATAGCTCCGTCTTAAAGCAATGGGTCAAGTGCAGGTTGCCTCCTTTATATTCCATCGGAGTAAATAAATAGAACGTTAGGTTCGTTGGCCCTAGCGATTTATTCGACATTGCACGAATGTCAAAGCCTTACAATTTAAGTAACATTATTTAATCTCTACAGCACTTACGAAGCCGGCATTCATACGAAACGTCTCATATTAAAAATAATACTGAACCAGAGCTTACTACCAGGATCGAAGCACCATCGTAGTTATTATGTGTCGATTAAACATTACAAATTGCATTTCCGACTAGCGTTATACAAGCGGCGGGCTAATTGCATTATCGGATGCGTGATGACTCGTGTGCCACTGACGGTGAATAACAGCTTGATGAACTCATTACGCAATCACACAATATCACAACAAAACTTCTTTAACTTAATGCCAATGTTAATCTTGTGAGCCTATCTAGCCTTAGCTGACGTTACAGGACTGGAGTGGTCTGAACTTGACTCCTCAAATCAACAATTTCCCATTGAGGAATGCCCGTTTGAGTAGCTAGCAACTTGTTACCTTTGGCTTTTGCTAGCATAAAATTTTTAGTCGCCAGGGACCGCAGCTTATATTATAGAATTTCTTAGTCAAGACAAAACCCTAAAAATAACAGTTAATGGTAAAAGGATGATAAACGATGCTATTACTAATTAGGTAATATTGGGCAGCAATGATGAGCCAAAATTGTTTATAACTACAAATATTCAGTATCTTATTATACAACGCAATTGTTACTAATTAAATAGACTTGGGGCAGAGGATGAGCAAGTTTCTTTTTAAGCTGAGCAATGTTTTGAAGCTGCGTGATAGACGAGGATGCATGAACTTCGTGAAGCGAACATATGAAAGTAAGTGTAACCAATATTTTTTCTCGCCAGACAAAGCCTGGAGCTTTACTATTAAATTTCGCCGTAATAATCGTATTCGCTGATTTACCGCATGCGAATGGTGTATTTAGCTTGAAAATCTGCCAGCCATTGGATGATGGAGTTCCGAGCTTGTGACTATCTTTGATAATATGGCCCTAGGTCAGATATCTGTTATGTTCCGGTGCGTTACAGCTCTAGAATCACACTTCATTCTTATGTTAACCCAAAATATTACGGGTGTACGGGACTCTTAGTATGAAATACGAATTTCAGTAATATTATTGGAAAGGTTACGGATAATTGGGGACCAGCGAGTGTCGTATTGCTCCTTTTTTTACTCTCGACGGTGAGTGCCTCTGTTGGCTCATCCTTTGCCCACTGCCTAAGCGAAGGACAAGCAGTATAATATACAATTGAACGCTGCAATAAAATATTTGTTCCCATTGCCGTATTCCTAACTAAAACATCAATAAAATTTATCATAAACACTGCCAGGTTCCTACAATCTCCCTGGTTCTCCGATGTGTGCAATTGTACGTATCAATACGCCTTGAGATCTATTGAGTCACGTCGTTCACTATGGCTCATAATAAAAAATGTGCATATAGCTTTGATGAAACTACTTCCACATGACTAGTTATTGACGATACGAGCGGCCTCGCTGCGCTGCTCGGCATCCTCTCCGGCAGGCGACCTGACACTTCAATTCTTCCTTGCGTGAGGCGGGACCATTCGTTCCCCTGATGTCGTCCACAAGGTCGACGGGACTGGCAAAGATACTGCAGAAGCGCTGCAGAGGCGCTGCAGAGGCGCTGCAGAGGCACTGCAGAGGCGCTGCAGAGGCGCTGCAGAGGCGCTGCAGAGGCGNTTCGATAAATTCTCAGCTTTTCTCATGATCAAATTTCTTCTTAAAATTTTTTTAACAGCTTTTCAGCGGTTCAGAGAGTTTGACGGGTTATATGATGAATTTATCATGCGATTTATTCATTTATAATGAGTTTTGACTGTATGATTCGTATTATTGAGAGATTTTATCAATCGTTATAGGGAATGCACATGCATGTTTCCTGCTTCCTCTGTGAACAACCTCTCGCGCTTGTTTCAGGCGCCAGCCTCAGCAGGTAACCAGCACGCTGGCAACCTGCTTTCACTGTGTACGTACCCAAAGGCAGGGGAATCAGCAGCTGCAACGCGACGTAAGATCGTTCTCCTAACGAGCGGTTTTAGAAAAAATGTTGTAGAGAAAAATTTAAATTAGGAAGATAGCATAGAATCCTACATGGTCGAATAAATATTGAGCTGGGTGCATTTGGTGGCCGGGTTGCGGCGGTAGTAGACAAAAGAATTTATTGATCTCTCATCTCTGCAGGTAAGATCCGTCAAGTTTAATGAACATCTCTAAATGATGACTGTTAATCTGAATAAACGTCAATAAACGTGGAAAACTGTCAATAAATGTACATAACCTCAATAATCGTGATAAAAACGTTAACAACGTTGATTAAAAAAAAGTTAATACCATCACAAAATGTCGATAAACGTTAAAACATAACAAAACGTCGCTAAACGTCTATAGAAGTAATTAGTGATAAAAATATCAGTAAAATTGTCTCGTAGGTGACACAAAACGTCGCTGAACGTCTAAAAACGTTAACAGTAATAAAAATATGAATAAAAGTGTCTCGTAGGTGACACAAAACGTCGCTGAACGTCTATAAACGTTAACAATAATAAAAATATGAATAAAAGTGTCTCGTAGGTGACACAAAACGTCGCTGAACGTCTAAAAACGTTAACAATACTAATAATATACATTTAAAAATTACTTTTTAAAGACAACACTTCTAACGAATCCAGTGTCTTCAATGTTACAGATGTACAATGAATTTATCATTTAGTTTTCGAATATTAACCAAATTTATTTTTCAATTTATTTTAATATTTAAAATTTTGTTTCAAAATTGTTTATTCTGTCAATTGATTCATGCATTGCCTCCAACTTCAAAAAGTGTGCTAAATTTCAGATCAATTAGACAGGTAAAAGTGTGTCAAATATCAGTTATAAGATTTGTAGCTGACAAAATTATTTTTTCAATTTTTTTAATATTGAAAAAAAAGTTTAAATTTTAAAAATCATTTATTTTGACATTTGATACATGCATTGTCTCCAACTTTACACAAGTGTGCAAAATTTCAGATCGATAGGATAAGTAGAAGTGTATTAAACTTTGATTACAAGATTTGTAGCAGACAGACAGACAGACAGACAGACAGACAGACAGACAAACAAGAAGTGAAGTTAAAGAGAAGTGTTGTAAAAATATGAATAAAAGTGTCTCGTATGTGAGCAATAAAGAGACGGCAGCAAAGGATACATCTGAGCGTGCAGGGCGTAGACCGGCTGCATGGCCTTGCTTAGCTCCTCTCCCTTGGCCATCAGCTGATACATGCTCTGCAACATGTCAGGGTCATGTTCATGTATCATGTCAAGCATCGTATTTATATGTCAGTAAACATGTGTGAGACACGTCAGTTGAGACATGTATGACATAAGTAAACATGTATGCTATACGTAAACATGCATGATATATGTAAACATGTATGATATAAGTAAACGTGTATGATATAAGGAAACATGTATGATATAAGTAAACATGTATGATATAAGTAAACATGTATGATATAAGTAAACATGTATGATATAAGTAAACATGTATGATATAAGTAAACATGTATGATATACATAATGTATGATATACGTAAATATGCATGATATTCTTAAAAGGTATTTCAGTGGTGAACCTCAGACAAACAACGTGTCAAACTTAGACGATACGAACTTCGATACTCGCGCGTATCATGAGAATGATGTTGACGTCCACGCCTCACCTTGATGTTGACGTCCGCGCCTCACCTTGATGTTGGCGTCCGCGCCTCACCTTGATGTTGACGTCCACGCCTCACCTTGATGTTGGCGTCCACGCCTCACCTTGATGTTGACCTTGATGTTGGCGTCCACGCCTCCCCTTGATGTTGGCGTCCACGCCTCACCTTGATGTTGGCGTCCACACCTCACCTTGATGTTGGCGTCCACGCCTCACCTTGATGTTGGCGTCCATGCCTCACCTTGATGTTGGCGTCCACGGCGTCGCAGGTCTTGCAGACAGTGTCTCTGTAGGTCTCCACGCAGTCAACCGTCAGCGCCGATTTCTGTACCAGAAAACAATTTGGTTTTGAATGAATTGAGAAACAATTGCCTTAGCACTTCATGGTAATTTATCACGGATTTGCAAAACTTGCTCTGGCGTTTTAACAAGTCCACACAAACTTTAAAGTACGTGTCTTTCTTTAAAACATTAAACAAATACAGAAACTGTGAGATTTAATTTCTTTGTAATTTTGGAGTTTATAAATTCTACTTCATGTAAGATGCTTTGGTAGTTCATGAATTTATTTGTGAGCTCTAAATTTTCGAGTATAACGAGTTTTCATAGCTAGTTTACCGTCAGCAGCTCTTCTCTCGCTACAAAATAAAATTTCCGATGGCGAAAATTAAACATTGAGAGCGACGATAATAATTTGATGGTTAACTTTTGAGGTGCTTGAAGATTCGAGCAAAATAAAGAAAGTAATTAGTGTAAATCAGTCTTGTATCCTTGCCGACTGAACAGTAATTATATTGAGATCTTTTGGAGTCAGATCAAGCAGAAGAGTTTAACTTGTTCCGAACACCGGAATTGCGAACTGAGGTCGGGTAGACCTTGCATAGCAATTTGAGATTTAACAGTAACGTAATCTAAGGTATTGAATTATTTCAGAGATGAGAAGATCGCCCGCTACGACGCCTCTTCTTAAAAAAATGAAGGGATTAACTTGCGGCGCACTTGTTTATCAACGCGATACACGTCCACTAGCCGCGCACGGTCTTTGTGGCCCACTGCTATGCTATGGCCGTGAGACACGAACGCCCTCAAGCCCACACGAACGCCCTCAAGCCCACATGAACGCCTCAAGCCCACACGAACGCCCCAAGCCACCACGAACGCCCCAGGCCCCAGCTAACGTCTCACGCCCTACAAACGCTCCTAGCACCCACGAACGTATGACACCTCCAACGACCAGCCCAGGAACCTTCGCACCATAGTTGTCTCAGGCCTGGTCACGAGCGCTCTTGGTCCCTTATCAAGGACTGTACAGACCCAAGGCTTTCCCAGGCTCCTTCTCCGGTCATCTTAAACCTCCCTAAAGGTGCTTGTACATGGGGACAGCACTGGCCGCCAGTTCATCCGCCGCTTGAACTGTCCACGCTACTGTCCTCGTGTATAGGTGTTCAGCCACTTCAGTAGCAAGTGCCCGAGACGCGGCCTAGATTGACAACGATGTGTTGTTTTCTTCGCTGGAGAAGCGGACAGTAGCGCTGATTCAGCTATAATGAGAGCTTTTGCGCCGCTCTTGTGAAGCATCTTGGGTCAAGTGAATCATGGCATGTTTGAACGATAATGGTTCTAAGAAGAACCCAACAAAGTGGAGTCCAGACGATCTACAATTGTTCTTTGAGATATTCCAAAAATATGAACTAATGTGGAATGTTTGCCATACTGGTTACCCCAACAAAATGAAGAGATAAACGAGTATTTTGAAACTGAGAGAAGACCTTATTAATCAGTGTTTAATAGTTCCCAACGTCGCATTTTTAAGAGCTAGAATATAGAGTATAAAAACAACGTGCAGACTAGAGTTGTTGAAGGTGATCCCACTATTTATTTTCACAGACCTCACTAAGCGGCTTCTAACGACGCACTGGCGGGCGCGAACGAGAAGATAGCGGCACCTTGTACTGTCCTCGTGTCTAAGCTTACTTGCCGGATAGTGACAAAGCGGCCGACATTTGCCAGATATACTTAACGCCCGCACTGTGCCTGTGCAAAAGCACCTTTACGGCCGTGCCTTCCCCCTTATGACCGTCCTAAGCCGTCAACCTCCCTCACGGCCGTTACAGCCCTTTCCCTGTTCACGGCCGTCACAGCCCTTTCCCTGTTCACGGCCGTCACAGGCCTATCCCTCTTCACGGCCGGCCTCGGCCGTTCAAAGTAGCAGCTCACGCCATGCAGGGCGTCCGTGAGGCTGTTCACGAGGCCGTCCACGTGGGATGCGAGGCGCCGTGCGTGGAGCTCCAGTTCGTCCAGCAGCGCAGGGTTCAGGGGACGGTGGGGCGACCCTACCGCCAGGGGCGTGGAAGCACCTGAGCCTGGAGGGAGAGATAGGAACTATTAGGGTTGTGCATAACGATAGGTTCGAGGTGCTAGTAATACCAAGCAGGTAAAACTGCTACTGCTACCTGTCACATCACATTGCAACTCTTACCTCTACATATTCAAATGACCAGCACTTGTCAATACCAAAATAATTATTCTAATTGTTTGACCGCAGTTAACTTCAATTCCAATGCATTTATTTTCAAATGAAAAACTATCGCATATACATTCACGTATGACTTAAAGTACACATAAATTTAGTGAGAATCCATCATGTTTCAGTGCTACAGACATATTGAGGCGGGGCTGGCTAGTCTGATCTTCTCGTGGAGGTCGTCGGCGACGAAGGCCAGGGCGTTGTTGGGCAGCCGCGTGACGGTGCCACTCGACTGCAGGGCTGCCTCCGCCAGGTCCTGGCCACACTGACCCACCACGAGAGCCTGTGCCATCACAACTGTTACTTGAGCTCGGCTTGGGGTATGTTATTGCTAGGAACCAGTATACCTGTTAATTAAGCTCTGCTTGGGGTATGTTATTTCTAGGGACCAGTATACCTGTTAATTGAGCTCGGCTTGGGGTATGTTATTGCTAGGGGCATTTTATCCTACACACCACTGCACCTGCTAATTTATTTTCTACTCAGAACTTTACTTCCACACAACAATTGAGGTGTCCGAGTGGCACCTTGCTTAGTGAGTGGTAAAATTTCAGAGTTGTATGTATGTGTTAGTGATCACATTTGTGTATTGTGCAGGTCTTGTTACAATTAAATAGAAAAGGATAAAAAGAGCATGAACTATTTGAATATGACGTTAACCTTTTATTATTATTTGCACTCACAACTACAATACAAATAACAATATTAATTAGATGAGCTTGATCAAACTAGTAGTGTAAAACAATTATTCTGAACTAAAAGCAATCAAAATTATCATGGATGTACATACCTATTGTACGATTGAACTCCAACAACTTATTCTGTGCTTATATTGGCTAGTTATGACTCATTTAACGTGAAAATAGTCCAGGTTTGATGAATTTATGTCACTTTCAAGATCAAGAGAGATTTATTATTGGTAATGAGCTTGCCTGCACAGGAGCTTCTGGGACAGGTGGCAGTGAAGCAGGAGCAGAAGGTGAGGCAGGAGGGTCTGGAGAGGCAAGGTACGCAGCAAGTCTGTGGTGACTGAGGAGCGCCTGAACTGCATCGTCCCCTTCATTGACGGGTGTCAGCAACTCAGACTGCCACACATGGACCAATCATAACATTGATGAAGCAACGGCATCATAGTAGACAACTATATGTTAAAGAAAAAAATCTCTCATATTATGAGTGTATAGTTGTCATGCTACATGCTATATTGATTAATTAAATTAAATAGATATACCGTATTACAGTATCTACAATCCTGAAGAAGAAAACATCAAAAAAGAAATGAGGTTTTAAAATTCAGCAAAATAGGTTTTAAAAGGAACAAGTTCTAGCCTCCAAGAAATCTCATTGATCCTGATGAAAAATATTGCATTAGAAATAAAATGAAAATATATTTACACTGTTTAGTGGGAATAAAGGTTAATTATTGCTTCAGTTCAGTTAAATTTAAATTCTGAACGGACTCCACTGACTCAGAGGATAGAAACCACAATGTACAAAATGTCAATATTACTAATAAAAAGCTGCACTGCCATCACCAGCAACCATTTTAAAACAAAATAAGCAGCAAACATATAAAAATAGCACAGGCTTGAACTCAAGTGATAGAGAGCACATAATTTTTGCTTCTGTTATGACCTACAAAACTACAATTCACAAGAAAATAACTCAAAATGACCAAAAGTGCACCAAACAGCTCATTAATCAGGCATAAGATACAGATATAATTTCTTGGTGCAAAAAGCTTGTATGTGAAGCAAATTATTTGTTGGACCTAAGATAAAGAAACACTCCAAACAACTAAGCAATATAAAAAACAAGATGATGGCTTACTTGCTGAAGAGTTTACTACAGTTTATTTGTGTTGAGTTACAGTATTCAATATTACATGCACTTCTAATCAGCTTCAATGTTAAAATTTTATTGCAAAAATTTATTCATTTGTTCAAAACTGTGCACAACAATATTTAAAAAGTTTGAAATTAATTTATTATGTGAAGATCTAATAAGAGGGTGCAATGAAAAAATAAGGTTGCATCGTTTTTCACACAAGATATCAAATTTTAAAATATAGGTTTCTACCAAATTGATTCAATTTTACAGGGTATAATATTGATATGCAGAGAGTGATTCACAATTATTCTATGAACATACATTAAAAACAGCATCAACTACATTGCAACAAACTCACCTCATTGCAAGATATTTCAGTGTTAGTGGAAGTGTAATACTGATAATAGGTACCAGAAATATCAAATGCAAGAGCATCGGGGTGACTACCAAGAGATTGAGGGAGGCTACAAGGTTTGTTTCCTTTGCTCTGCCGCAACAAAGTCTCCCTGGCAGATGAGCATGAGTTACATGGACTCAGTTTTGGTGGCTTGTAAATGAAGCCAGAATTAATTTCACGTTTGGTGGATGGGCTGGAAGCTACACTTAGGTCTGATTGTGAGACAGGTGGGATTGGGCAAGTAGAACACGGCATTGAACTGAACTGTGCATGACTTGTGGAATCATTATGGTGCATGTTGTCTTCCACTATGTTCATTACAAGAGGCTTCCCTAAAATCTCAGAATATGATCCACTCATCTCCAGGAGCTTAGCAGCATGAAAAACATTATTTATTGTAGAAATATTACTTATCTGAGTGAATATGAAATTGACCTATCCATATATACATATATATGAGATAGGTGTAAATAGTCAAGAGTGCAAATTGTCACTATTCAATGGAAAGGCACATTTTAAATTCAACAGTATAAACATGATGTAGCCATAATACCGGAAAAAGTTAAAATATGGTCACACAGAAACTTTGAATTCAAGACATCACTCTGGCAAACATTGAAACTTATTTTTTAGTAAATAAATAAACCATGTATTAAGTTTTCTGACATTTTATTTAAAACTTTGGTGATAACTTTTATTGAGGGTGCAAAACACCACATTACATCCATACCACATTGCTGAAATTTATTAATTGTAAAATATTTGAAAGGAAATACATATATTTCCACCTGGTCATATCCCAATCTGAAAATAAATGTAATTTATTTTTCCATTTGGACAAAAGAGCTTAATACACGAACAAAAAATGCCATTTGAAAGGCATATACAGCTAGGTGTTAAAGAGTTGAATAAGCAAAAATTAGACTTTCTTGATTAAAAACTATACATTATAGCATAGTTCAAGGCCAAAATTTAAAAACACACAGCACAATGTAAAAAATCAACACAAACGTGAGAGTATTGGTGCTTTGAATTCACTGCAATGGATATCATGTACTCTGATTTTCATTCTAACTTGTAGGATGGAATTTACACTAACCTTTTCCTCCGCCTGCTCCATAGCAAATGAGGCAGAACATGCGACTCCATCTCTGCCAATAAGATTTCTTCTACTTGAATTGATACCTGCTGCTTTCTTGTCTGATGTTGTGTTGGTGTTTAGGCTTGGCACCATGAAACTGTCTACATCATCAGGATAAAGAGGTTGAATATCTTTAGGCAAATCAAAGTTCTCTAAAACATTCAAAGAACTATTTTCAGAATCTTCTTTGCAACATGGCAAAACATTGCTAGTAAGTATTTTGGTATTTGTTATGTCTTTCATTTCTTTGGTAGTAGCAGGAGTAATCCTATGGTCTGTTTCCTGGGATTCAATCATCATGTCAGTGATAATCCCACTGATATCATCTGCTGACATTGTCAAGCTCTATTGACTTGTAGCTTAATAAACTGAGAAATATTCTGTAAGACAAGAAGTTAGTAAAGTAAGGTTGTCACTTCTACAAATGTAATGCAAAGAAAATGAAACAACATTCCAACTTTAAAACACAAGTCCATTCACCCTTCTATGAGTCAATCATCAACCAATAAACTATTCCTCACAGTCACACAGTATCAAGCCTACATTTAACAAAAGTAACTTAATCAATGAAAATAAAATGACAGGCCTATCACTCTTTTGTTAAGGTATATATGTATAAATGCATATCATACCTACTTTTCCTACTGCAGACCATGCCTCAACGTGTTTAATTGTCAACACTGAACTTTTTATGGTTCATCACATTAATCTACCTGTTTCTCAATGTAACTTAGTCACTGACCTCTATGCAGAGTTTGGTCATTGCATTCTAAAGTTCAGGTTTCCAGATCCAAAATATTGCTATCATTTTTGAAAATTTTCACATATAATGAGGTTATTACAAGATTAAAAAGACATACAAAAGACATTTAGCTGCAGCTCGCAGCTGTATGATGCAGCAGCTGTAGCCATAACATGATGCAATTGTCTTGTGCCTTACATATACACATTAGTGAGTGACTGTTGCTACATAATAATAAACCTACATTCAATCCTGGCTGTCAGAATGCTGCTAATGCTACCAATGCATGCTGCCACAATGCTGCCAATGCAGGCTGCCACAATGCTGCCAATGCAGGCTGCAACAATGCTGCCAATGCAGGCTGCCACAATGCTAGGTACCAATGCAGGCTGCCACAATGCTAGCTGCCAATGCAGGCTGCCACAATGCTGCCAATGCAGGCTGCCACAATGCTGCCAATGCTGCCCAATGCAGGCTGCCACAATGCTGCCAATGCAGTGATGCTGGCTCTACATTCTATAATGCAGGCTGCCACAAGCCCACAACACCACCACCTGCACTGTGTAACCATTTGCACAAATTCATCAGATTGGAATTGTCCTGCCCAAACTGTATGTCTGCATTGACCATTGCTTTTAGAAAGCTCACTTTTTGCGAAAAAATTCATCAAAAAATTATGGCTTCCTAAGACAGACCTACCACAAGATTGGAAATTGCCTAATAGCACAGCTCCAAAATAATATTTATGCTAACAAAGTAATCTTGCAGCTTGATTGTGCCCTTTTGTTGTCAATTAGATAAGAAATAATTCATATAGGCTAACAGAAGTTTTATGGTACCAAAAATGGCAGGAAAAGCTTTAGTTCTGCTGTTCTGGCTTGATTACTGATGAGTGGATATATTCCTTGCCTCTCAGGCCACACTCAGGAAGATGTATATAAACGGGGAAATTTCCCGTGCATTTTTAGTTTTTTATATTTTCTTCACGCACACGTTCGCGCAAATCACGGTCATTGATTCCACGGCGCGCAGCACTCGGCGCGGGCCGCGGAGCCGTCCGACACAGTTCTGATTTAGACACAGTTTTCATCTGAATGGAATGGCAACATCGTCTGTAGATTTCAAGTAACGCTAAACGATCTTCAACTTCGAGTGTGATGTGTCCCTCTGAAGCTATTCTCATTTTTATTAATGTTGGTTGTTCGCCTCTATAATTAACCTTCATCGTTGCAATAAAAATGAAAATTTATAATTAAGATAGATTTCTTCAGGTGCCTGTGTTTTTTTATGCAATTAGCACTTATTAGTGAATGAATGATTTGCGGTGTGGTTCTTTAATCTTGACTTCTGCAGTTCGCGCAATCCCGGCCATCAATTCTACGCCGCACAAGAGCAGTTTGTGGAGGAACAGACGCAATACTCAGTACAGTATGCCTTTAATTATCCTTCAATAATATATGATTTTTGTTAAAACGGAAATTTGGTGAATGAGAAATCTAGAACTTTATTTTGGAAGAAATTATCTCCAAAGTCATATGGCAACAATGAACACCGTATTTTTACATTTCGTATGTTTAATAGCCGCAGTTTATGATTACTGTATGTTCCGTATCCGACAAGCGGAAGCGTCAGAAATAACCCGGAGTCCCGGACATTTCCTACATTTTATTATTGTTAGTTCGACTCGCGTAGTTGATATAAACTTTGATGACCAACGAAATATAACTTTTTAATAGGGAAACTTTATGTTTATTATACTACAAGTAATGATCTTTATTTAATTATAGCCATGTTGAAATGTTGCAATTTAATTATAGCCATTTTGTTGAAATGTTTTTTTTTGTGAAGCCCGCTCCTAGATCATTAATGTTTTTATATACATCCTCATATTGTTAGGGACGCTCGCTGCTTCCATCAGATCTTAAAATGTAAAAGTTTAATAGATACAGATTTGTATGAATAATGCCATTCAATATTGTTAGCTACATTAAATTGAGGGTGGAACATGGGAATGGCAATGATTAATTTATCTGAAGCAACCTTTACAAAATTAGTGTCGAACAAGCAAACGGATGTCATGTTAACCAGAACTCAAACACCACAGCAGAGAGTATTTTATGCAGCTAATGAATTTCGCAAACTTTGCTGGAAGTGAGATTATTGAATTTTAGAAAAAAGGCGGGATAATTCAATGAAGGGTCATGGCAGAACTGCAATCTTGATACTCAATTGCGATTCGTGCTATGATAACCTACATAACAATTTTCACATGATAGTTATATATAATTTTTGCACATTCAAAGTATGCAAGACATAACATAATGCACCCAGATTTGGAAACCATAATTGCTCAAATGAAGCAAAAATAAATGACAGACCATTGCTTTATTTTGCAAATATATATATTCATATTTTGTATCACGTAGCATAATTAGAGCAAACTCCGTTTTAGGCTGTTTGCTTTGAACATTATAAAGCTCTATTTGATCTTTAGATTGTTTCTTCCTCGAATTTAATCGTAGCGATAAAGAAAAAGGAAAAAAGCGGCCTTTGATACTGTTGACGTACAGGTTCATACCCTACTTGCCACAACCAGTCCAGTCATTCATTAGAAGGCACCGATGGCACATCTAAAGCCATGTTGCCTTCTTTAGTTCTGTAATTCATGTCCGATTGAATTGTGATCTATGAATGAATATTCATTACTGTGCTGACTCTTAGAACCTGAGTCCTGAGTTGATGCGTTAGCAAGTTAGCAATCTAGGCAACTCATATCCAACCACAGCACAATGCGGATACACGTTTGTCATGGTTTGTGTGTACGGTCAGTGTGATTACGTAATTTGCTTTGCCGCGCATCCATATTTAAACTATTTTAGCTTTCTAAAAGTACGGCGCATTTTTTTACCGGCATAGTACGGCGCAACACGCAGGTTGTTAAAATGACAATATAAATTCCTGTGCACCTGGCAAATCTTCCTGACCATGGCTCTCAGGCTCTGCCTGTTCTACCAATGAGTCAAACAGAAAAATTGGGCAAAAATCAGGCAGACTTACCAGACTAAAGCAGTCCACCTGTAAATGAGACAAAAATGTCTCATTCACATTCATACCTGTTCCTATATTTACTGATCACATTTTTAATAACAATTAAAATGCATATTTATATGCAATTTTTTAAAATACCATACCTATGCCATAAATAAAATTTATAAAACAAAATCAATTTGTTTCATTTTATATTTTCTGAAAAAGGAGCTTGATATTAAATCAGCCAATAGGAACAAGCATAATGAGGCATTAAATACATATACTTTGGAGACTTCAGGCTTTAAGCCCTAACTGCATAGAGCATAGTACTACTGAATAGAACTGATACTAGTGCATAGCACAGCTGTCCTGCCATTTTTGGAGCCTCAAGATTGAAGATTCTTGCTAGTTGCTACCTCTGTCCTATGGGCCAGCAGGGGTGCACCTGGTGCAGGTGCAGGGCAACTAGAATAAATGAATAACCTTCAAGTCTCCAATATAATTGTTAAAAAAAAGTGCACAATAGGGCCAGTGTTTTTACATGCCATTTTGGAAAACTTCTGCCCAATATTCCAAATAGGATTGAGGCTGTGACCTGTGAGGCATCTGACATGATTTGAGCAAGGTAAAGGAAATGGGATGCATGTCAGACAGTCAGAGGCGGCGAGGCCAGCATTGCCCAATACCAGCATTTCTCTCATAGACTCATACTCCTTTCCAACAGTTTCCATGCACAATCCTGCTACAGGGCAGATAAGTGAGTATTTGCTGAAAGGCATAGGTAGGTGCAGAGCTACAAATTCCCTTCATGGAAATGAACCAGCAAGCTAATGAGAAGTACCTAAGCCACCAATACAACTGCTCTAAGCATTATTTAAAACCACTCAAGGCTCAACAGTTCTATCCCAAGCCGCCTAGCCTTCTCACGATTTGCGGCAAGGAACTCCATACGCCTGCAGCCATAACGCTGTTGGTGCACAGCCAGCCCTTGGCACTCCAGGGTCTAGCCTGTTCGCTCGTCGCAGCGGTTTTCCCCCACCTCAGCGGGTCGCCTGCCGAAGACCACCATTGCCCTGAATGTAATGGACCATCATGTATTTCCTGCCTTCCGGAACGTAGCCTTCAACACTTCAAGCCGTCAGTATGTCAGCCGTGGGTCAAACCAGCCCTCGGTCAAACCAGCCCTCGGTCAAACGGCCACTTGTTGAAGGACAATAAATTTTGGAACAGAACTATGCTATCTGAAACCTAACCTTAGATGCTTCTTCTTCTTTGTGGGGGGTCCACGCTAGGTGGACATAAAGCCACAGGTCTGCCTGATGGGATGACCGTTGGGCCTGAGAGCTTGTTGGTTAAGTTTTTAGCTTCTTGGTACGGGAAGCTAGTCAGTTCTCTCTTAAGAGAGATCAGTTCTCAGGTAGCTCCATATAGGATTTGAGAAGTTTTAAAGGAGACAAGTATTAGTAAATGGACTTAAGACTAAATGCTCATTTGAAGCAAAGCATAAAAGGTAAATGAATGCCGGTACAGCCTCCCTACCTACTTCAAACACCTAAAAGACACGCCTAGACCTTGATAAATACGCCAACAACAACAGTAGATAGAACATAA